ATCGGGCGGTGTTACATGATATATATAACACTCTATATACATGTTCATATCCCTATGAAATATAAATATTAAAAAATTAATTAAATACCAAAACAAATAAAATAAATAAATAAATAATAAAAATAAAATAATATTAATTAATTTACCTCATCATTTCACCTCCAATAATCGAATACGTAACTTCGATTATATCTTAATAGACTCGCCGCAATAATATGAAATCTTTGAATATATGAAATATATAAGTGTGGTGATGAATAAGAGCGGAGGGCTCTATTTATAATTCTTCTCGCACCCAGAGAAGTGCGATTTTAAAAGCAACTCATGTCTTGCAAGACGCGAGTTACTGTTCTCAGAGCATCACAGTTTGTAAGACGCGAGATTACTTTATCTTTTAAATTTCAAAAATATTATAATTATAATATTATTAATTATTTATTATATTGTATATTTTACGCATATAATTTTTCATTATTCCAAAATTTACAAAATATATTATAATTATTTTTATAAAATATCTATTTTAATTACTATGATTATATATTATTATATTTTAATTATTTATTATATTTAATAATTAATATTATTAATTAATATTATTATTGTATTTATTTACTATATTCAAGAATATAATTATTTTTTTATAAAATATCTATTTTAATTATTATATTTATATATTATTTATTTATTATATTTAATAATTATTATTATTAATTATTATTATATTTATTTTTAGTACAATTATTTTTTATAAATATCTATTTTAATTACTATATTTTGATTATTTATTATATTTAATAATTATTATTTTTAAGTATTATTATATTCATTTATTATATTCATTTAATTTCTACGTTTTAAATTCGGAATTCGAAAGAATCTCGTGCTTTGCAGGCCGCGAGGTCCGCCATAAATCTCACGATATTATAGATTATAAAGGTTACCTCGCACTTCACAATACGCGAGATCATTTTATCTAATTATTTTATTGGTTTACCTAAAAAGTGCGCCCACGTCGAATGTATCTTACGTGTTAGAGGATATGAAGATTTAACACGTAATTTATAGGCTACGAGGTCATATAGTGTACACGATTTAAGGATTATTCTTTCGAATAATTTCTAAAAGATCCTATATTTTAAATAATTATTTATTTGGCGTTCTTAATATAAAATTGCCAGGTCTTCTGCTCTTTTGGGGGGGGGGGGGTAAAACACCCATAGAGTGGGTAATCTAATTTGAAGTTATAAAAAATAGTAATTTTAAAGGTAATTAAAAATATAATATACATTAATTTAAAATGTTATTTTTTTTTTCTTAATTGCACACCAAAATTACCATTTTTATTCCTATATTAGATTATCATATAACATAATCACCCTCTAAATTTCAATCAAACAGTGTGCCATGTCTAGGGCTGTAAACGAATCGAGTTGAGTATTGTTGAGCTTGACTCAACTCGAAAACTCTTAAATGGACATGACTTGAAAACTCGCAACCCTAAAATTTTTAAACTCGACTCGAACTCGAAATCATGAACCGAAACTCGTAAGAGCTCGAAAAAAAAATCTTAAACTTAACTCAATTGAAGCCTCAAATTCAAACTCAAACTTGAACCTTAAATACATTAAAAACCTTATAATGTATTTTTTTTAAAAAAATCAACACAAAAATGTTACTATTTAATAATAATTTATTTTTTAAAATTTAATATATTATATTTTCGAGCTGCTCACGAACTTTTCGAATCAAGTATCAAGTAGTTCATTTTGACTCTTTAAGAATTCAAATCGAGCTCAAACTCGAATCAAATCTATTCAAATCGAATATTTATCAAATTTTAACTAAATAAATATCGAATAACTTATAATTTATTTCATCTCATTTACAATCGTATCTACATAAGACTTTTCGGCATATCTTCACGGTTAAAAAGGAAAAAGAACATAGGCTAATCTCGATCACACCCACTTTCTTCTTATTCGCACATATAAGATATTTTATTAGAGATAAATACACCAAATTAATTTAAAAAAAATCATAATGATTAATGCCTCAATTGCTTATGTCATCCCCTAGTATTTTGGCTACTTGTCCTCTTCCCAATGGTTTCAAAAACAAAGATTTGGTCAGGGGCATGCAACACAAGATTCGAGAGAAAAAAGGTAATAGATTTTAGTTCTCATCACACTACAAGGTAATGTAGTTGGTGGGTTTAAGAACCATTTTGATTGAGACATATTTAGGTTTTATTGTTCTTTTAACATATTCGAATGTGTTTTAGTAATAAATTTTTTCAAGTCTCATTGTCAACCCCCAAAACGGGCGTGATTGAGTGAGATCATTTATTCCTTTAGTTAATGTCAAGTGGTGTGTTAGTGTGTTGTGATGGTAACATGGAGGAGACTTGTGGCGACGCCATGAAAATGATGGGCTTTTTAGACCCCCGAGTGTTCATCTGTATTATACTGGGATAATGGGATTATGGTTGTGTGCTGATTCACGTCTTTTAATTTTGGCAAAAAATAGGTGATCACTGATGTTACAGGTATGGTGATCAATGAGTTCAGTAATTCGAACTCGATTCGATCAAAATTTGGTAAAAACTTTACTTGGGTTAATTTAACTCGAACTCATGCTCGACTCGAGACCTAAACGAGTTGAGTCAAACAAAGCTCAACTCGACTCGATAAGTTCGTGAGAAACTCGTTAAATTTTTAATAACATTTTATTAGTTATCTTAGAAAAATATTTCATTTAAAAACTTACTAATTTACTAATAGATAATAAAAAAGATGATAAATTATTAATCTATTAATTCTCTAATAAATAATTAAAATGTTAAATTATTAATTAAGAATTATTATTCTACTACACCTAAAAATCACCCTAATTATTATTTTAATATATTTATGGATTATTATTTTGGTATTTTGTACACTCTTTTGATATTTTTTTGATTAAATTTATTAGTTTACGTTTATATTAAGTTCTATTTAATGTTAGTAGATTTTACTTATAGTTAAAAAATAAATAAAAAATTCGGTCAGCTTAGCCAGCTTTACAATTAATGGATCAACCAAGGGCATGGAGAAAATCTCATATCGATGAGACTGGTTGAAACGTCTTATGGCATAAACATGGGATCTTAGCCAGCTTTACATATCCAGTAGCAGTTGCAGAAGCTTTTGTATCATGTTTTATCCTCTACTTTTCTATCAGCTTCTCGGCGCGTCCTGCTGCGGATTTCAGCTTGTTATCGAGCTGATTCACACTCGTAAATCCATCCTGAGTTCCCATGACAAAGAGTTTCGGTTTCGGGGATTGCAGGATCGCATTGTGGTGTCATCCGAAAAGGAACGAGGCCATCATGCCGAAAGGGTACCCCAGGCTCACGTATCCGGCAACTTGCTCGAGTTGATCTACTGCAGAACCTGCAATAGGTGCCCCTGTAAACAAAAGAACCACCCATTTACCTCTCATCATCAAGACAATTCAACGCAAAAGAAAACAAAACCTATATATTTTCAGCACAACAGTTCTATAGATATGGTAGATGTGTGTTTATCCAAACTCATAAAGTATTGATCATAAATCTAGAACAACTCTACTAAGCAAAACAAGAAATCACAAGTAAATATGATCGAGTATGGATGGACGAGGACGATTGTCTTATCTTTCGTCACTTGTTTTGGCCTGAAAATCTTTGTCCTTAGGTTGACTCCGTCAGGGGTTTCGACTGTGGAAGACTCCGTCGTGTAGTTTGGCATTGTCGGATTGGGCTTAAATTAAAGAGAGATGGAATCAAAAGAAAACACACACAAAAATGATTGAATCTAGAAAATGGAGAGTAAAGGAACGAATGAAGAAAGGAAAATTTTTTATGATAGCAGTTGGGCAACTTTTTAAAACTAAGAAGGTCTAATTCACTCCAGTCCCTATACTCTTTGAACTTTGAAATTTAGTCCCTTTTCTTCGTTATAACAAGTTCAATATATATGTATATATAGGTGTTTGTCACTTGGAATTATATGTAGGTGCATTCTAATGGGAAAAGAGAATGGAGATTAAACATCCTAGAAGAAGTACCACTGAGAAGTCATCAACACTAAACACTCAGCTTTGAATTCGGTCTCGACATATATGACAAGCCGATGGTGATGCCAATACCAGTGTTTGTCACTAGGAATGTTGAGGTCGGGAGTGTCGAATGCAGTTATCGACATATATGACAAGCCGATGGTGATGCCAAGAAGGCAGCAATGTTCCGCACCTCGTCTGTTTTGTTAGCGTCTTTTACTCAGTATTCATATATAAGAATTGAAATCTTAATAGTTCATCCAAGTCACCTGCAGATAGTTCTTTCTGGAGGGCTGTCAAGACTGCATCTAGGGGATATACTTTGGTTATATCCATTACAGAGCCATCTGTCAATCTGAAACATCAGCTTCTATCAGGAAAAAAAGGCATTACTAATTCATTTAAGTATCCAACACTATTATAACATACAACCGGCTCTTACAAGCGTGATTCATCGAACTTTCCCGGTCACAAGCTGGTTTCGAATATGTTCAAAGCCTACAAGGAGAACTCCACTGTCAGCATGTGATATTTGACAGCAGAATCTGGAAAAAAGAATGAGTTGCATATAGCAAACGCATACATGGCATGCATAATTGCGCACATTGTGTCTTATCTGGCTGTCCTATTGTAGACATACTAATCAAGAAAACTGAAAATTTCACTCAACCATCGGCATAACTAACTTATTTCACATTAATAAAGAATACCCAATTAGCTAAACCAGTAAAAATATGAAAAAAACCTCTAAAATACAAATTAAACTGAAAATAACTAATTAGAGACTCCGTCTTTTCACCTTAGCAGAACCCAAAATTCTAAACTTTGCATCTCTAAGAAAAACAGAGATTCTAAAAAGCAACTTGAAGCAAAAAAGCAGCCTGAAACTCACTTGTTAGACTTGTATATATAGATATTCATCAGTTGATCTGTACTCCGAAAAGTGTGGCACTTTTCTGCTTTACATTACGACCTGATTCGAATCCATCTACTTCATTATCTTCATTCAACTCACTACTAGTCTTAGAGTAATTCTTCCCCCTCAAACTCAGTTCCAACTCCACCTCCAAATCATCCGCTCCACGACCATCACCGGCCGATGATTCCGACATATTAGCCCCTTTCTTATCGCCCTCATCAATGCAACAGCTTTCACCTCTGTAATTCACATCGATGAGGAAGAAATTTCTGCCATTTTGATTCCCATCAGGGCACTCACAGGTGTAAAATGTCACGGTATCTTTCTCACCAAGTTTCTTCTCCTTCACGAAACGTCTCCATCCCCTAGTGAAAACAAAGCTTTGGCTACTCCTCCAATACCAGTAACGAAATTTCCATCGCACCATTAACTTGTCGTAGAAGACAAGCTCAATGTCTTCGACCACACCGCCTACCGGAGGGAAGTGTTTGACGGCATATTTTTTAGGGATCACGAGCCTGTTAAGCTTTCCAACATCGCTCGGTGTTAATTCCTTTTGAAAAAGTTGCATACATGAGAAATGTGTATCACCATGCACAAGTTTTTTGTTAACGTTAGTGATCAAATCCCCATCTTTTCTAGACATGGTCTTGACGAAATGTTCCAGTTTGGCTTGATACGAACCATCCCTGATCATGTTCAATACATCCTCGGTCGAATAAAGGCGTTGAAAGTCCGGTTCTCGGACGTTGAGATAGGTCCACGGGAGATTCCTATGCATGTCGCCACCGCCGCTGCGTAGCTTGATGGCAGTGCTATCGTAAGCCATCGCGGCTTCTCTCTCGGACTTGAACGTACCGAGCAATATCCGGTGATGATTGGCGTATATCTGTGCACCCCAATGGCCGTTTTGCTGCGGGACAACAACTTTGAACCTTGCCAACAACGCGCCGTGATCATGTCTGGCACGTTTGCTGCGGCAATACTTGTAGTTGCCGTTGCCGGAATCAGAGGTTTCCGATGCCGAAACAGTCAATTTAGTGTCCGAAACGATGCTTGAATCATCTTCCACCATTAGAGATTGGTCTTAAAAAGAAAATATCTATGCAGGCAAGAGATTAAGGTGGGATTTAATATATACAATATAGGAACATCAAGTGGAGAAAGAAATTATAGATTCAAAAAATCCAGGAGAGATTTGAGGGAGAAAGTGTTGGCAATCAAAGGATAATGAAAATGGCAGGTTTTGAGTTTGAAAGATGAATTGGATTAGCAACAATTATACATAAAAAAAACAGTAGATGATTAAGTTAAAACCATATAATTAACTTAAAACATGTTTTCCCGGGGAAAAACACAGGATAATTAACTACTGGGTAAACAAGTTGAAACAATTTCTGTGCAAAGGATGATAAATTTAGGCATAAAACTTAAATTATTTAGGGTAAACTACATATTCAATCACTCAACTATTCCCGCGGTTTAGTTTTAGTCACCAGACTATTTTTTTTCAAAATCATATTTAATTTTCATTTTTGTTCCGTTTTTATTACCCGTCATTTGAAATTGATCGCTCATATCTTTAGCATTCAAGATGCTCAAACTCATGACCTCAAGAAATAATAACAATTCTTTTGGTTAATGTTGAATATACTTGTGAGAGCTTTCTTAGCAATGATATTAACTCAAAATAATACTGTCTTTTACTTTACAAAATAAAAAGGTTCATAGACAGCTAAAGAACATTAAGTTTCTGAAATTTAATTTAGTTAATACATCAAATTTTATCTAATAAGTTTATACTTAAATTTCAATATTTATAATAGGTTTTGTCCTGGGATCGGGATTACAAAACCCGTCACCATAAAGACGATAGGCAATAGTCCGACAAGCAAATAAAGAATAGGAAAATTCTACGGTATTACACCAGCAACAATCAATACCATTAACGACGAATATTATTAATTTAATTTATAAAAATTTAAATTTTAAAACACTCAATATATAATTAATTATAAATTAGTTAAAATTTTAAAAATAAATTATTTAAAATAAATGGTAAACTATACTAGTGACCACTTAACTATTACCCCTTTTCATTTTGACCAATATTTTTGAAATTTTGTCAATAAAGTCACTCAGCTATTTAAATGCATTAAATTAAGTCACTTTTCGTTAATATTTAACGGAGAAGCTGATGTGGCAGTTAAAATATTTGGTATAATTGTACATTTGGTCATTGTTACTTATATATTCTATCAATTTGGTACTAATTCTAATAAATTAAAATAAACTTAACCATCAAATCTTTAATTTTAAAAGATTTTAAAAGTTACGACATATTCTATATTTATAACAAAATATTTTTTTACTATAAATTCCATTTATAGTTCTCAAAAGCATCTCGTCAATGGTATTATAACATCTTTTGGTTTTAAGGAAAGTGTAGTTGATTAGCCCATGCATATAAAATTCGCCGGACAAAATTTTTATTCTATTACTATTTGTAAATTATTCTACTAGAAAAAAGATGATATAGCCTAACTTGTAAAACTAAGAAATATTTATCCAGTAAATTTCTAATAGAAATATGTTACATATATTTCATTCACGTTTGACACAGTTTTTCTTTAAAATTTTAAAAAATCATCTCCTATCATAAAATTTATATCAATTTTTAATAAAAGATTATACTGATAAGATTCTACGCTGACTTAACATGGAAAATTATGCACTAAGAGATTGACCTATATCAAAAGGGTGATAAATTTAGTTTGCTTTAAATTTAATATCATAAACTATTGCTTGAGTTATTCAATTTTTTAGAAAAACGTTTTGTTGTAAATATAGAATATGTCGTAACTTTTAAAATTAAAATAGATTAAAAATAAATTGTTGAATTTTGGGTCATTATACATGGCACCATTTGATTTGAGGGTTAAGCTTATTTTAATTTATTAAAATTAGGACCAAATTGATAGAAAATATAAGTAACAATGTCCAAATGTGTAATTATACCAATTATTTTAACTGCCACATCAGCTTCTCCGTTAAATATTAACGGAAAGTGACTTAATTTAATGCATTTAAATAGTTGAGTGACTTTATTGACAAAATTTCAAAAATATTGGTCAAAATGAAAAGGGGCAATAGTTAAGTGGTCACTATTATAGTTTACCCTTTATTTTAAATAATTTATCTTTAAATTTTTAACTAATTTATAATTATATATTGAGTCTTTTAGAATTTATTTTTTTATAAATTAAAATTAATAGTATTCTTCGTTAGTGGTGTTCATCGCTACTCGTCGAACGTAGAATAATATCATAAAGAATGTTGTCTAATTTCCCCTTTAAATTAATTTTCTGGAGAAAATTAACCATTAAATGAAAGTGCAATGGTTGATATTTGATTTGTCTTCACATATTTGTTACCGTGATTAATGGGTTAGAGACTTAACATTCCATTTGCTATTGAATTGAGTTTAATACAAACTAAGTTTTGGATTTTTTCCTGGCCTTGTTAGTTATTTTCCTTTCGGTAAAGACTTATCAACACCGTTAATAATGAATATCATTAATTTAATTTATAAAATTTAAAATTTTAAAGGTCTCAACGTACGACTATAAATTAATTAAAAATTAAAAGTAAATTATTTAAAATAAAGAGTAAGCTATAACGGTGATCACTTAACTATTGTCCCTTTTCATTTTGACCATTATTTTTTAAATTTTATCAATCATATCACTCAACTATTTAAATGCATTCAATTAAGTCACTTGCCGTTAATATTAAACGAAGGAGTTGATGTGGCAGTTAAAATATTTGGTATAATTACATATTTAGTCACCATTACTTATATTTTCTATCAATTTGGTCCTAATTTTAATAAATTAAAGCACCTTTAGTATGATTTATGGCTTAATCAAATTTGGGTGTTACACAAACTTTAGAAACATAGAAAGTATGAGAGGAAAACGCTATTGTTTTATCTGATTATTATGGATGCATAAAAGTTTATTTCCTAAGATCAAAAAGATGAAATTAAAAAAATATTTATTTTTTATAACAAAGAAGTAAAAAATCAACTTGATAAAAGAATAAAATGAATTAAATTAGACACAAACGATAATACACACTCTAATTTTCATAAAAGTATGAGAAATATAATATAATATAATATAATATACGAATTTTCCAATATTTTTCATAGTAAAATGACATAACTGAAATAAAGAATAGAACTTCAAAGAAGATTATGATTATGAATATCTTACTTTTTTAAGTTCTAGTTTATTTAACATTATGTAAGTGGAAGTTGTGAATTATGAAAAGGTTATGTCCTTAATATGCAATACTTAAAAGTACGAGGGCGTTTAACAAAAATGTGTTTGTCTACTTTTAAAAGGATTTAAGTATGAGGGTGTTTAACAAAATTATGTTTATCTACTTTTAAAAGGAGCACAATATATATATATATATATATATATTATTGATTATGCTGTAAACAGTATGAGATATAAATTTATGATATTGCATAATTATTCTATTTATGAATTTAAATATATTATTCTTTTTAAAAATATTTTTTGAAATAATGGTATGATGCACTATGTACAATTAAATGAAAATTTATTATTCATATGAATTTTAAATTGATTAATTCAATTTGTGGTTGAATCAAATCGGTCAAAATTGAATTAACATAAAATTTTCAATCTTTAATCATATTGATTTTTTTAAAATTATTAATCGAATCGAATAAATTTTGATTAATTTGGTCAATTTTTGAACTAACTGAAATTTGTTACGATTTTTTTTAATTGGATTAATTTAAATTTAATAGAGGTATATTTTCTTTGGACTTACAATTTGACTGGGTCTTAAAAAATTTAATGGGTTTAATATATGGTTAAATATTAGTTGGATCTTGATTTTCAACATGTATGGAATTAATATATATATATTAAATATTTTTAATTATTTATTTATTTTTAAATTGAATTAACGATAAATCAATATTTAAAAAATTAACTATTAATTAAATTAAATTTTAATTCAACCGATTAATTTAATTAAAATCTAATAGTAAACATCTTATTTATTCCTTATCTAATAAATATGCTAGAGATATTCAAATGATAAACCCTAGTAATTAAATTAAATAAGATATTTATCATTTAAATATAAAGGGAAACTTATATTGTTGAACTTTGTTCATTGATTTATTTATATAATTAAATTTTCAATTTTATCAATTATAGTAATGAATTTTAGTTTTACATTCAATTATATCATTCCGTCTTTAAATCAGTAATAGGATGATGACATTACCAACAGTTGCTAACATGACCTACCACACTAAAACGATATCGTTTTAATGTGATTGTTCTAATGCTTAAAACGAAGTTGTTTTAGACACTCAACTTTATGAATGTTTCGCTTTTGCGAATAAACTTTTAAACAATTTTCTTTTTAGCATTGCATTTTCCAAACGCCGCCAACAACCAAACACTGCCCATTATCAATCACATTTCGCAGTAAGATCAGTATCAAAATAGTTCATATTTCACTCCTCTCTTCACCTAGGAATGATTTTCCATAAACTTAATCAAATTGACAAAAATCTATTTTAAAGTTTAATGCATCAATACCCTGACCTCTTTTAATGATCGTCCGATAAGACTAGTTTTGAGGTATATTGTTCGTCTTCTGAAAATAATATTTTTCACCATTTAGATTTTCGAACAAAACACCTCAAATCTCATAAATCTAATTAAGTCTTCAAACATCTAAAAAATGGTTATTTTTTGTTTAATTTCGTTGATTTTGAGTGAATTTCATGGGAACCTAATCATATGAGAATAATGAGGAGTAAAATGTGAACATTTTGATACTGATTTTGCAACGAAAGACGACCGGCGACAGGTGATGATTGGTTGTTGGCAGCGACTGGAAAGTGTAATGCTAAAAAAGTAATTTGTTCAAATGTTCAATGGCAAAATTGATATATTCCAGAAGTTTAGTGTCTAAAACAATGTCGTTTTAAGCATCAGAAAAGCCGCACCATAACGACAATGTTTTGGTGTTGCATCATACGTCAACAACTGTTAGTCATATCATTGTCTCGTTAGTGACTTAAAGACATGGTGGCATAATTGAATGTAAAAGAAGAATTTAATGTCATTATTGATAAAATTAAAAGTTAAGTAGTATTAAGGACTTAACTGGCAAAATTTAGTAGTATCTGAAATAGTTTTTCCAAATATAAAATACATGTATGAATACAATGATTATACAAAGCAAGTACGTATTTATAAAATTAATAAATAAAGTATAAAATAGTAATAAAATCAGTTACAAGCATATAAACCTTTCTTTCTCTCTTCCCATCCGTTCGCTGCTCGTCAAACATTACACAACCAAAAAAAAAAATCCCAAAGCAAAAGGCCAAAGGGAAGAATAATCAAGCACAGATTCATCGTTTCTTCACCGTTTTTATTCAACCTTTTCTTCTTTACTCCAACAATTCCGTTTCCAGTCCCTTTTTTCTCTTTGAATTGTTCTTTCCCTTGTCGTTTCTCTCGTTTCCAATTGAAAGAAGAAGAAGGAAGGAATGCCGGCTCAGAAGCGTTCTCCCGAAGCCGTTTCAACGCCGGAGGACGGCGATCTTTTGGTTATGGATCAGAGTGTGGACGGCCATGAACCAGATCCCATGGAATCCGAGGATGCTGCTGTTGCTGATGGTACGTACACCTGACCAACTCTTGTGGTTTTCGAATTTCGATAACGAGTACGACCCAGTTTTTTTTTTTTCAAGTAGAATTGATTTGTTTTTTTTTTCTAACAGAATCTGATCGCAGTCCTTCTCCTAGTAAGGAAGATAAAGATGAGTAAGTTTCTTTTTTATCTACTGTTTGGATGTGCTATGGTTTGTTCGTTAATTCTTTTATTTTTTTAACTGTTTAAACTTTAATGCGTTAATGGCGGGTTTTGTTCTTTAGAAGGAAACACAGACATAGTCCTTTCTGGGTTTACTTGCTGCTGACATTCATACTTCCTCGACATGGTTATTCTTAAGCTCTAACTGACTTAGATTTGCTCCTCCGCGCAATTACATTCGTGTATTTATCTATGTATGAGGACTGGGTTTTTGGTTTCTCCATGACTTTGAACTTCTTCTCCGTTAGTAATTATCAGGCATTTTAAGGGTTGTTGACCAACTTTAGGACTTTGGAGGCTCTAATTTAGTTAGGAAAAGGTAGGCTTTACCAGCTTTAAATTAGTTGTCTGTTTACTCTTGGTCAATCTGTCCCTGCTTGGCTCTTTGGAGGCTCTAATTTAGTTAGGAAAAGGTAGGCTTTACCAGCTTTAAATTAGTTGTCTGTTTACTCTTGGTCAATCTGTCCCTGCTTGGCTCCCACGTTTCTCTTGGTCTATATGATCAGTGCATGATAATACTATACACTGGAGAGGACTTTACATTTGCAAATATGTTACAAGGATGGTTCTTTGTTGGTCATCTTGGCAAAATGCTGTCATTGTTCAATATATTGAATACTCTCGATTATTTCTAAACTATAGCCACCAGCCAATATGCTTTAGTGTTGAATTCAATTTGTTTCTTAAAATAGTTGGAAGTTCTCATGTATAGGTCATTGTTGGTGAAGTTTCTCAGATTTACCATAAGATATCCACTTGTCCAAGTCCAAGTTATCCCATTGATAAGCTTTTCATATTTGCATCCTTTTTGAATAACAGTGGTAAAAACTAACCTTCTTGATAGTGCCTGTCTTTGAATTTCAAATGTCGACGAATTTTATTTAATTTATTGTGCTTGTTGAAAGCTCCTCATTCTGGAATACCCTTAATTGGTTAGACTGGATGTAAGAACCTAATCCTTGGATGATGATTTTGACAAAGCTATACCGATGTTACTTGGATTTGGGTGTGAGTGTGGAATATAGATATATACCCAATACGGGTATGGTTAGATTTTCGATGTTTTCCATGTATTTAGAGGATAGTTGGAAGTCCTATCCCTATATCTATGTGTTAGACACAGGTACCACGTACCCCAAAGTAAATGAAGAGCTCGAATAACATTATTGACTTCCCTCTAGCTTATTTTTGTAGTAGGCAGCTGTTTCTATTCAAAAGTAACGATTCACTTGAGAAAGGATTATTTTTCTATATGCTGTTCTCACCTTTTCCCCATAGTTTTCCTTTATTTTCTATATGCTACTCTTCTCCCTTTTTCCCCATAGTTCTCCTTGATTCTGCAGTACCTTATTGCTTGAAGTTTTGACAAGATCATTGATGATCATTTGAATTTGCCTTGCAATAGTGCAGTAAACATGTGGTTTATGACTCGTGTTTAATTATTGCATGCATAAATTTCCCTCTCAAGTAGAATTCAAGTTAAACCGGTTGCATTGATAATCATTTGAATTTGCCAAGCAGTAGTACTGGTGCAGTAATCATGTGGTTTATGACTCGTGTCTAAGTACTTTCTAAATACATAGCCTCTGAAGTAGAATTCAAGTTAAACCTTAAACAGGTTTAAGGATGACTTAATTAGTTTAAAGGACAATTATTGATTTAACTTTTAAGGGTTAATTCTGAAGAGAAGCCTGTTTTACGATTTGTCCAATGTCCAGTGTATTTAAAGTTCCATACCTGGCAAAATGTTTTTACAGTTATAACTGAATACGAAAGGCAAAATAGTGTGGTGGCCTATATATCAGTATGCTAACTGTTTTACCCTTGTGTTTCATCGCAGTTATGTTGTAATAAAATTATCCGACATACGCAAAGAAGTACAATGCCCAATCTGCCTGGGTATGTTCTTTGAGGTTTTTTTGTTTGATTTTGCGGTGCTTGCTACATTTTTTTGTCGTAATGGACTTATTAGAAACCCTTTTTTGAACTCTTATAGTTCATCTTGTAAGATAACCATCTCATGGTTGTACTTTGTTTTTAACACTTTGCATGTATATCATAAGGTGTTCATGATATGAGATTGCACAACATTTCTGAAAAAATGGAATGAATTTATACTAAGAAATCAATTAGAATAGGGAGTATGCTTCAATTTTGCATTTTTTGTTGTTTAAATAATAGTGCTGCATAGCACATAAACATCAACTTTTGCTGAGAAAAAACAATTTCTTTTTCTTAACTAAGGTATCATTCGCAAAACAAGAACCGTAATGGAATGCTTACACCGCTTCTGTAGAGAATGCATTGACAAATCAATGCGGATGGGGTACGTTCAAACCATTCCATTCTCTTCACTAGTTCACCGAAATGTGGATCAGATATAGATTTTCCTGACCTGGTTTGGTTTAGGATTTTAAGAGTGACTTGTGATCTGAAATGCTTTTTCTTCTTGATAATGTGTCTCGAGTCTAATGGCAGGAACAATGAATGCCCTGCTTGCCGCACTCATTGTGCTAGTCGTCGGTCTCTGAGAGATGATCCTAACTATGATGCCCTCATTGCAGCCTTATATCCAGATATCGACAAACACGAGGAAGAGGTATAATTAGGTTGATCTCTAAGTCTGCATTGAAATCTGATTTTCTCTGCTAATATTGAAGCTCAACAATTCATCACTTTGTGATTTAGGAATTCATTTTGCATGAGGAGGAGAAAGCTCGGAATAAGCAGGTGAGGCCCAGATTCCTAGTTTTCTTTGTCCATTTAACCATATGCTAATTTAAAGTATTGTTTGCAGTCAAAATGCATTCATTTATCCTGTACTCCATTTCTTAAAAATAAATAAAATCAATTAGTTACATTAATAAACTGAGATAATCTGCATCAGATCCAAGCTTCCATTGCCCAGACTTTGCACCGGCAATCAGAAGTTATGGGTAGGAAACGGACAGTTAAAGTCATTTCATCTGCAACTATAAGGAGATCAAACGGTCGCTATCAAGGGAGGAGAAAATATCAAACTTCTGAACATCAAGTGTCTACTGATAATAATGAGGATGCAAACGAAAATGGAAGCACAGGTTCATCTTTGGCCGATGAGGATCTTACTGAGGTCATACCAAAGAGATTGAAGAGATGGGAGGGTCGGTTTACTCAACCTTCTTCAGCTACTAGTGCAGATGGGGTTGGTGACGAAAATGATTCTGAAGGGAACAGAGAATCCTTGGGTGTATCTACTGCACTTGGTGCCTCGGAAAGGGTTCAGTTGGGAGCAGGCAGCATCCGCAGTTACACAGAACCTGGCGGTGTGAGTGGTGATGAAAATGATTCTGAAGTTTATAAAGAACCACTGGGCTTGTATGCTTCCTTTAGTGGCATCTCAGAAAGACTTCATTGGGGAGCAGGCGGCATGCGTAGTCACACAAGACATGGCGGTTTGAGCAGTGGAAATGGAAAGAACACTCGAAACAGCCGCCTCTCTAAGTTGGCGGATTGTCTTCGTAGCCTAGAGGAAAAAGATGATAAGGTAAAGTTGAATTTTCGGTGGCGATCGTATATGGTAGTCTGTCATGGTAAAGAATCAGCAACTTCATTTTTTGGTTCAATTAATCAAATTGCGCAACTTATCAAGTCCAAAATATCAATTTAACCACCGTGCAAATGTTATCCTGGATTATCACTGGGTTTAAATTGTTATTTTGAACTTGCTGAAATTTTTGGATTACTGATTTTCTCTACTTTCTTTCAGCTCGATATCCACCTAATGCTTGTATCGGTTGATGAACAAAGAATACCCCATTTACAACGGCCTTACCTCTGCTGCAGGCCTACTTTGCTGGTTAGACATCTTTGCCAGGTAACTATTCATCCATCAAAAACCTCATTGCTCATTTACTAGCAGTCCGTAAACTTCAAAACACCGGACGAACGGGAAACTAATACTTAATTGACCTCTTACCTAGTACGTAGCTATGCAAACTTCTTTGCAAGCCAGCGAGATCGAAATCTACATTGTAAAAGAGTTATATTCAATTGTCAACATGTCAACCCTTACTATCACAAAGCCCGGTTTTACGGAATCAGTCAGAGATAAGCTGCAAGTTTTGAAAGAAGAAGAAACTTTGGCGGGACTCGGACTACAAAATACCAGTCATGGTCATTTGGTAAGCTCCTCCTCTCAGAGTAAGTGTCGATACTGTGTTTGCATGCAAAAGTACGCAAACACATGCGCATACATAAGCCGCCCTACATCGGTTACAGAATTTTACACATTTGATCCGTGTTAACTTTTTCAGATTCTTGCATATCAGAAGAAACGGGAGAATACAGATGGAGAATGTCAAGTTTAGTGCCAGCTTTGTTAGAGTAGAACACAAGATGTTTCACATATGCAAGTATGGACATACCGTATAGGAGAAATATATTGAATCTGAAAAATATATTTGGTCTCAACTGTTACACAAGGAGTTTAGTTTAGGAGTAGTAGAGCAAGTATTAGCAAGCATTTTTGGAAGCGATATGTATAAATAAAAAATTTTGATAAATTTGAATGATATTTAATAAAAAAATATTTTCCTGTTAAATAACATTTATATATTTTATTTTATATGTATGTTGAAATTTAATATAGGATTCTATTGGCTTAATTAGGAAATTAAGAAGAAGAAAAAGGCAATAAAAAGTTTTATTGGGTAAACTATGTATTTAATCACCCACCTATTTTGTGGTTTTGTTTTGGTCACTAAACTATTTTTTTCTTCAAAATTATACATACTGTTCTATTTCGGTTACCGTGGTTAAAAAAAATTAATGGTGATCTTGATGTGTCGTCATAAGATAATATTATATTACCATTGAAAAAATTATAAAAAAAGTGAAACGTTAGTAATTATGTTTATTTTTTAATATCGTATGACAAACGAAATTAAAATATAATGTTAAAAATAATTTAAAAAATAATTGAATAATCAAAATAAAACCGCAAAAATAGATAGATAATTAAATGCATTGTTTACCCAATTTTATTTTATATGTATGCAGAGTACTGTACGAAATAAAATTTCACTGAGAGTTACTCGAAATATGAAAAAAAAAATAATCTGAAAAATTATGTAGGATAAATTATATTGGAGATCACTTTTATTTTTGGTATTTTTATTTTAATTAATAATTTTATAAAAATCTTTTGTAGCGTTGTTGTAAACTCTAAATTGATTAAATGTAATAACGACTCTTTAACTAACGAACATGTCGTTTTTTAAAAATAATTTAGGATGATTATAAGATAGTATATGTTCAGAATTTTTTTTAATTAATTGACAACATATACGCATTCTACATATATATAACTTTTCGAATTCAAGACCTTTAAAAATAATATTCTCAGTAACTATTGGCACCACTTGATAAATACTCAGTCATGTCATATTTAACTCAAAGTTATACGACTTCTTCGCATACATAAGTAAACTTTCAAAAGTTACAAATTGATCACTAACGTTATCAATTTGTAACAAAATGATCACTCCACCATTAATCTCGTTAAAACTGATGATGTGGCAATATTAATAAAAAGGTTGATATTTAGTTTTATCCCTAAACTGTTGCTAAAATATCAAATAAGTCCTTAAATAATGATTTATATCTAATTTATCCCGATAATTTTAAATTTCCAGTTCTTTTATAAATACCCACCACTACCATTGTAATCCTCCCTTACCCTATTCACCACGAGGATCCACATACACTTAAATAAACGAAAATATCGAACACTATGTTACTCAGACTTGTGTCCAAAAACGCATTTGACATTACTGTTCAAGAGTATTTCTAGAAAGAAAGAAAACAAAGAGCACTCACATTAACGAAACAGTCGTGAAAATGTAATCTCACCAACGAAGCTCCGACGAGCGTTTCGTTCTTTATAGCAGCGGCGACTCCAACCTCAACAATATATAAAGCTTGTGGGCAGGTGGGTGAGTAATAACCAGGGGAGAGGTGGCCTTTGGCTTAAAATGAACAAACAGCTGTAACCAAGATAAGAAACATTGAACGAAAACAAGCCATGAAAACACTTTGTCGAACCGAATGATCCGAATACAGAATGTAATTTGTTAACGTTTTTGTTAACGTTATCACGTCATCGGTTTTAACGAGATAAATGGCGGAGTGACCATTTTGTTACAAATCGATAATATTAGTGATAAATTTGTAACTTTTTAAAGTTCAGTGGAGAAAACGAAAACTTACTTAAACTTTAGTGACTATTTATATATTTTATCCTTTTTATTACTAGCTTTAAAAATTAACGGAAATCGATTCTAATATTAATTTGTTTAATTTTAAAAAGCTAAAAAAATAAAAGAAAAGGACTTACTACTAGTCAGCTATGATATTTTCTGATATTTGAAAAATGAAAACTCAATAATTCAATCCTTAACCACAAAATAAAAATTAATTAATTCCATTAAATTAAAAACAACTCAAAATACCCCTTCCATTTATTCATTTATTTAATATAACAGCCGCCGTCCACGGCCGGGATCTTACTGCTAAACTCGGTTCAGTGAAATGCAACCTTCTTCTAGAGGTTCTCCCGCCGCCTTCAGCGGTGGTGCTTGCTCCGGGTCTCCCCACTGTAAAGCCTGTCAATCACAAAGGATCCCATCAAAATCGAACTTTCATCCAACTAGTTTTTACTATGTATTTAGTCATTCAAATATCATTTTATTTTAATCATTTATATTTTTAAAATCATCATTAATATTACGTTTTAGTTTTATTTTTATCAGTCGTTGTTAAAAAATTAACGATAATATTGACATTACATCAAGAGATAATTTCATGTTATCGTTTAAAAAATAAAAAAAATTATCACGGTAATAATTTTGTTAATTTTTAACACGAATAATCAAAATGAAATCAAAACGTAACGTTTATGAGATTTTAATTATGTTATCAAAAGGGAATGACACGTGACGATAACTACCCTGAAATTTAATTTTTTAATTAATAATTTATTTTATTGATTATGTTTACATTAAAATTGTATTTATGTTCACTTCATATATAAATTTTGTGTAATTAATATATATATTTATTTTAAAATATTTTTAAAATCATTACTGAATGCATGGATCTGCCACGGAAATTACCTATACATGGCTGGGAAAAATGGAAAAAATAAAGAATCTTTACAGACCAATCATAAACAGTAGGAGAGTTTGGTTGAGGCTTGTCGAAGACTTCAGCACCGATACCTTTGGTAGCAAGGTTGCTACCCGGGTTGAACACGCTCCTCCACACGTTCTCCCTACGCACCGACACCGGCGTCGTCGGTGTCGTCGGAGTCCCAGGATTCGAAGCTTCATCTGACGAAAATTGATTCATAAATATTCCAAGAGTGACAAAACTTAGACTTAATATCATCAAACGATGAAAACCAAAATTGTTTAGGTTTTCGTTTTAACCTTTGGTCGACGAGGGCTGAGTGGTGGTGGTGATCTTCCTAAGCCGGCCAAGGCCACGCTCCGGTTGAGGGCCGGCCACTACGTCATCCCACAGCTTCTCTAGCAGTACCATTTTTGTTTCTCCTTGAATGATATATGATGTTTATGGTGCTTTTGGGTGGCTTTATTTTGTCCATTATATAGAGGATGATTTAGCTGAAAAATCTCTTTCCTATTCCTAGTACCATGCAACTGATTTTGTTGCTTCCAATCTTTTGACATTTGGACAGAAATCATTACTTTCAGGGTAAATTATGTGTAATCTAACTATAATTTTGATTTTATTTCGGTAATCCAATTATTTTTCTATAAACCCATCATTGATATTACGTTTTAGTTTCATTTTGATCACCTATCATTAAAAAATTAACGATGATGTTGACATGTCATCATATGATAATTACATGTCATAATTGAAAAAATAATAAAAATACCATGTCAGTAATTTTATTAGTTTTTTAATAGTATATGACTAAAATAAAATTAAAATATAACGTCAATGATGATTTTAAAAAATAATCAAATGACTAATAAAACCAAAATAATAGTTGTCTCGCTAAATAAGTAGTTTACCCTTAATTTATATATATATATATATATATATATATATATATATATATATATATATATATATATATATATATATATATATATAGCTTATAATTAATTGAATTAAAATAAAATTATGAATATTATATTATATTATATTAGAATATAAAATATAATTTTTGAATTCGGTGAGATTTTTGTGTTAGATGTATAACAATTCAAGAAAAAAAATTAAAAAAAAATCAAATATTTTATAGATCCACAATTTACTTCTATGGTGATTCATACAAGTCGCGACAAACAACATTCAATTCCTCGACAGGATCTCGCTGTAAAATTCATGTACGTAAATCAAGAATAAAAAACACAAATAACATATAAAATATTCGATTAAATAATATGAATAGAAACCCATAAATATATGAATAGAAATAAGTTGAGACTTGCAATTACGCAGTTTCCTTAAGACAAATTTTTTGCTACTCCTTGGTGTTAGAGATCTTTGGTCGTATGTCTCCCAGGATACAACAACAAGATGACCAGCGCACAGTAGCACAACTGTCGAGATCATTAACTATTTATTGTCTTCGCCTATCACCAAAAACTAGATAAAATAATTCATTTGAATTGGTTTTTGAGTTGTTTTTAACCTAATAGGTTAACACGGTATTTATAGGGAGTTCACATTGTGAACAATTGTAAATTTTTGACCTAATGAAGCATTAATGAGAATCAAACAATTAAGCAATTTCCAAATTTACAATTTTGGTTAAATGAACATTTTAATATTTATCCTTTTAATTCCAAAACAAATTTTGAAAATATATTCTCTATTTGAGAAAATATCTCACATTTGCGTTAAAATATTCGTAAACCCACAAATAGTTAGGTCGGTTTAGACATTCACGTTACCCACATCGTGCACGTCTGCATATTTACGAACCAACAATTAATTCCACATTTTCCTCAATAACGTTTGAATCAATTTCTCAATAAAATTATCAAAATTTTTCAACATTTTGTTCCGTCACTGAATCTTGAACGTTAATATTTGTGCTTTATTAAATATAAATAATATGTCTAAAACTTTTGTAATTATATTTTGTAACTTTAATTTTTTAGAAATTTATGTTTAAAATAATATATATTGGCAATAGAAGAGTGAAGAGTGAACATCTCCAAATTGATGACGAGTATGATAAATACTATTACATTTTAACATTATTTATTAGATCACTTGCAAGTTTTAAGGTATGTATGATAAATACTATTACTTTCATTGAAAAAATTGGAAGGATTTTCAACAATATCTTGAAAGTCGTTAAGTTTTCTGAAAATGAGATCTTATAAACTTTGACAACTTTTTTTTATATTTTTTTAATAGAAAACGGTTAGTTTTATTAAAAATAAAAAATATTCAGAATTACAATAAAAATTTACGAGTATGACCGTAAACGTAAACTAAATTATAATTATGATATTTTCCTATTATCATTAATACAAAAACTAGTCACCTAGACCACACAACGACCATAAAAGAAAAATATTAAAAAACCTAATTAATACTCGAATAAAATAAAGATACGAACAAATTTAATTGTATCGATAAATAAACCACAAAATTGTGCCTATGGTTTCTAACTCTAATAAAATAAATCTTTGGCCTGCTAGATTGGAGCATGTCCCTGCTACTCAATTAAATAGGTTGCCTATGTTTCATAGTATTTCTATTAATATAAACTCTGTTCATGACTGCTCCATATGCCCTCTTGTTAGACAATCAAGGTTACCTTTTCCTTCCTTCAAAAAAAAAAGGTTACCTTTTCCTATCAGTACCTCTAGAGCTGAAAGTCCTTTTGCCTTGATTCACCTTGATTTATGGGGTCCCTATCGTATCTCAACACATAGTGGTCAACGTTACTTTCTCACAATTGTTGATTCATCTTGGTTACAAAACTACACTTGTACTTGCCAATCTTCTTTATCTACAGGTCAGTCTAGTTCATTGTCTTACTCTCATTTGTCTCTACCTACTCAAGTATTTTTAACTTATATTTCTAATGTTTCTGAGCCTCGCTCTTACTCTGAGGCTGTTAAGGATCCCCACTGGGTCCAAGCCATGTCTGAGGAGATTCAAGCCTTGGAATCTAATAATATGTGGATTGTTGAGTCATTACCTTCAGGAAAAATTGCTATTGGTTGCAAGTGGGTCTATAGGATCAAGTACAGGGCATCGGGTGAGGTCGAAAGATATAAAACTCGCCTCGTTGCCAAGGGTTACAATCAAGAGGAGAGGATTGATTACGTTGATACATTCTCTCCAATTGCCAAGATGTCACTATTCGAATTTTGGCCTTAACTAGGTGCTTTCAATTGGTCATTGTTTCAAATGGACGTTTTCAACACTTTCTTGCAAGGTGACCTTGTTGAAGAGGTTTACATGGATGTACCTGAGGGTTTTTGTAGCCAGGGGAGAGGTTTACAGCTTAGATAACTTGGTTAAAAGGTCTTCTTGATGAATTGAACATAAGGGACTTACAACCAATGAAGTTATATTGTGATAGCAAGACGACACTTTAAATTGCAGTAAATTTGGTCTTCCATAAGCGTATAAAGCACATAGAAATTGACTGACACTTTGTATGAGAAAAGATACAAGTAAAGATGATTTAAACAGAGCACATCTCGACACACGAACATGAGGCTGACATTATGACCAAGGCTTTGACTCAACAACATGAGTATTTAAATTCTAAGTGACACATGTCACTCTTAGATTAAATGTTTTTCTATAATTTAATTATTTTTTATTTATGTATTTATCTTCCAACCAGATGGTGACACGTGGTATCATCCGGGTGGAAAATCAAATATCAAAAAGGTAGAAAAAATGGAGTTAGCTAGAATCAAACCTAGGACCATAGAAGCATATGCGCGCCTAACCACTCAACCAGGCACCATATTTGTATTATGGTTTACACAATAATTTATATTAGGGGTGTGTAAAAATATGCGATCCGAATTATCCAATTCGTTTATCCGATGATCCGATTTGAATAGTAGGATATTTGATTTGAATTTTTTTCGGATAATTCAGATCGGATATCCGGTAAAAATATCAGATAATCTGATCGGTTACGGATTGAAAAAATCTCAATCTTGGATTGTCCGAAAATCTGAAAAATAAATGGGCCTTTAGCCTTTGGCCAATAGCTGAGACATTTTCAAGCCTTACACTGTATTTATGGGCCATTAATTACCTTATTTAATATTTTTTGCTGTAAATCTTATTTATAAACTCATAAACGCTGCAGTGAAACGAAGGGTCCTCATGGATCAATTTGTTTGTTCGAAATTTCATCTAATTTTAGACAGTAAACAAGGGAATTTTATCTGCTATAAATTCTTAATATTACATATTATTTTAATAATAAATATATAAGACTAATATAATATGCAATCTTATTTATAAAGATTTCTAAATAATTTTTAATAATTATTTAAGTATTTATTATTAAAATAATATATCTATAATAGCTTATACCAACAGTATTCCTCGCTCTCTCTGTCTCAGATACATGCATATACACATACTATCTGGATTTTCCAAGTTAAATTTTAAATTTTAAACATAGAAAGAGAAAGCTAAATTTCACATTTCTCTTCATTTAAATTAGTTTTTTAAACTTGAAAAAAAAGTTAGACTTTTTAACTGACATGTTCGAATCGGATTATGATCATTATTTCAACTATTCAAAATTTCGGATATCCGAATTTTTTTATAGGATCGGATCCGATATCCGAATTTGCACACCACTATTTTATATATTTTAGTTAAAGCTACGCCATGATAATAAATTAAAGGGGACATGTGTCACCCTTTGATTGGGTTTTAAATATATTAAATTAAATATATTAAAATAAAACTTATTAAGTGATGACAAGTTTCATCATATTCTGATTGAGAGATTAAATTTATTTAAATTAGTGTTAAGTTGATAGAATCTATAAAATTGAGGACTAAATGTATAAATACATCAATTTTATTAACAGCCACATCACTATTTCTGTCAAATATTAACGGTAAGTGATTTATAATTAAATAATTAAGTGGTATAATTGATAAAATTGAAAGATTGATGGCAAAAATAAAATAGTAAAATAGTTAAGTGGTCAATGATATAGTTTACCAAAATATTTAGCAAATATTGTAATATATTATATAAAAATAATTATAAAAAATTAACGCCTTCACGTGGGACCCGGTTTTGTATCCTTTCCCTCTCTTTTTTCGCTTGGATGAAATAGTTTTATTTACAGAAATAAAATAAAAAAGACAAGGTAAAACTTTCGAGATAATGTTTTGAAAGAAATTAATTCACGAGTTAATGTACTCTTAAGATTAATTGCTCAAATAGGATGAAATCCACAGTGTTGGCCGTAGGTCGCCATGCACTCCGGGCGACCTACCCTTGCTCAAACAGAGAGAATGAACGTGTTGCATGGCACATGCACATCCCAACACATCATGCCCTCCAGGCGACCTTTTAGCTCGCCATGCACTCCGGGCGACCTACCCTCGCTCGGCTTCCCTCGGATTCCCTCGCATAGCTCGCTCGGTTGCCCTCGCATAGCTCGTTCGGATGGCCTTGGTCGGATGGCCTCGGATGCCCAGTGTGTTGGGACGTGCATGGCACATGCAATCTCTTGTAGCTCGCCTGGAAGACATGGCGACCTACAACCAACACTGTGAATTTCACCTTATTTGAACAATTAATCTTGGGAGTACTTTATCTCGTGAATTAATTTTTTCTAAAACATTATCTCAAAAGTTTTGTCAAAAGACAATTAGGATGAGGACACAAACACTTGCAAGGATCGGACGGTCGCGTAACACGTGCAGTTCCGACACGAATCCCTATAAATACAGTCAACGTGCGGAATTTTACCTTTCGGTTTCCTAACCAAAAACTCTCTCTTTTATTTTATATCACAATCTCTCGCCCCACTAGTTTTCATATCTGACACCCAAACCATGGCCCATACTCTTTGCATATCTTGCCACCTGTCCTCGCTTCCCATTACCAAGGTAAAAAGCTTTGTTCAGTCCTTGTACCATTCTCAATTTTAGAATTTAGTCCCCTTCTTTATTTTTGTTCCAACCCATTCCACAAAAATGACTTCAAACTGAAGTGCGAGGACTAAATTCTTATTTTCGATTATTTTTTGGATTGATATTTTTATGTTTGACGTATGATAAATATGCTTTTATATAAAAAAAAATCATTTTTTTACGTGACGACAATATAAGCTTAAATTGAATTAAAATGAAAGGGAAAAAAATGAATAAAAGTTGCATTTTTTTTTCTAAAAAGAATAAATGTGTCCGGTATGTGTCTAAAAATATATTTGCATGAGTATAAACCATATGGTTATAATGATACACATGTATTAATTTTTAATCACTTAATAAATATATATTTAAAATGACTATTTAATAATGATAATAACAATAAATTATCTCAATGGTTAGAAAAATTGTTGTTATTACTAGAGATTTCGATTTTGAGCATCAACGACTGCAACATGGGTGATTGGGAGTATTTAGAATATTTACTACTTTATAAGCATCTTAGCTTAATGTAAAATAAAATTATTTGTTATTTTTTAGATTTGATATATTTTTATAATTATTAAATTATTTATAATAAAAATTATCTTTATAAATTTAAATTTTATAAATAGCTTTTATCAGTTAGATGAATATCAACAAATGATAATTACAATTAGAAAAAAAATTAGTTGATTAGAATCTTTCAAGTAAATAATTAATTAATATATAATTCTCTGTACAAGTAAAAGGAAAAAATATTTAAGCCTATATTTTTCTGATTAAGGAAGTTCAATTTGTTTTCAACAATACAAATTAAGAAAGTTGATCCCAAATCAATTTTTAATCACCGTCATAAAAACAAATTACTTATAACATAATATAGCAGCGATATACGTAAACTTTATCTTAAAGACAATAATACATAGAATTGCGGGAATTATATTCTCAGATTCCGGCGATGATAATTATTATCATAAAACCCGTATAGAATAAAGTAACAAAAATGGCTGAAGGAAATCTTTAGCGGTTAATTAACTGGAAATTAAAAATAAGAGAATAATTTTAGTGACCGAAAATATCTTATAATATACGATTTTAATTATCTTTTTTTTGAATTTATGAAAATGACCAACAAATTTACAATGCGAACTCTAATTTCGCAACACAGGTTCAAAAATTACAACGCGAAAGTCAAAATCGCAACTCGAAAGTCAAATTCGCAATGCGAAAGTCAAAATCGTAATGCAAAAGTCAAATTCACAACGCGAATAGTTAAATTGCAACGATAATATGTAATTCGCAACGCGAATAGGTAAATCGCAACGATAATATGTAAATCGCAACGCGAATTCTCCAAATTCGCAACTCAAATTTCACAAAGCTAATTATCGATATAGGTAATTAACGTTACGAAAATAAAATTCGCGTTGCGATAGTACTGTTTACCTATATCGATAATTAACATTGTGAATTTGACTTATGTGTTGCGATTTTAGAATCTGTGTTGCGCAATTAGAGTTCACGTTACGAATTTATTGGTTATTTTCGTAAATTTAAAAAAAATAGATTAAAATCATATATTATAAGATATTTTCAATCAATTTATTTTCTCTAAAAATAATACAGTAAATACTGATGAAACAACGGAGAAACTGATGTTTCTCTGCCGCAAAAAAGGCTACTTCTTCAGCTACACTATTCACATAATCTGGGCTGCCGTGAATTTCAAGATCGGACGGCTGTCACCGTCGATCACATCAAAATATGCCGTAATTTTATCTCCTTACTGGTTAACGGACGGGAAATTAAAATTTTATAGCTTTTCCGGCTGGGCGATCGGCGAATATGAAAAACAATCAAGAGATTTCCGGAAGAGCGGGCTGGTTGAGATCGATGTTCAGAAGTGGACGCGATTTGACCTCGTGGTGGTTCAAATCAACGACGGAAGATGAATCGGAGTCGCTTTGTACACCACCATTAAACGTCGGCGCATGAAAATCACGATGGAGATGATCGAATCCCAGCCGTTGAAACTGCTGGCCGTTCACTACACCAGGGCGAACAAACGGGTCGAAGTAAAAAACTTTACGCCCCGCAATATACGGCACCAGCGAAGCTGGCTGGAAAGGAAACCTAGTAGCCGTGGGTACGTAACCGGTAACCGCCTCGCCTTGTACGAGGTTAAGATCTAACGGCGAAGTATCGATCATGAGAGCCGGCTCACGGTTCGAGGATTCCACGGTGCTACTCTGGCTTGGGCTACGGTTGTTGATGTTGTTACCGTTACGTTTACACTCATTCCCCTTGTTGGGATTTTCACAAGGGACAGGGAAATTAGTCTTAGCCTTGGCGCCGCGAAATTCTCGAGCGGCGACGTCGTATGCTCTGGCTGCTTCCTCCGCCGTATCAAAAGTTCCAAGCCAAACACGGCTCTTCTTCCCCGGATCTCTGATCTCAGCAGCGTAACGCCCCCATGGACGCTTCCTTACTCCTCTGAAATGAACCTCATTATTATTATTCAAACCATCGTTGCCGGTACCTTCGACGGCCGCTGTTTTCTCCCTCGGTGCCATCTCAAAAGGGAAAACAGTGCTTTCGGTTTTGAAAATGGCGATTTTGTGTGGGGTTGAGTGAAAGCAGAGGGCAAAGCGAGGAGGAATTTATAGAAAGGGAAGACCGGAATCGGCGAGGAATGAAAGCGGCGTCTAATGGGAATTGGAAGCTTACACAGTCAACCTGGGATTTGACTGACGAGGGGCGGCTGGTGGAATTGAGTGGGCGGCAGCTTCGTAAATTACCGAATCAAGATTACGTGGCACGTGGGTTTATCTTTGAACGTTCCGTTTATATTTATACTCTCCATCTCACTCGCGTCCTTTCACACGTCTTTTATAAAAGTGGGGCGTGAAGCGCGTGTGGTACTGATGGTAAGTGAGAAATGAGGAAAGTGAGTTTTCAAAAAAAAAATTGTCGGCTTCTGCAAACTCACCGCGTGGCGTTGGATGAATTTTTTTAATGTTAACCGATACGATAAATGAGGAATGGGTGGCGTTGAGCCAATGGCTGCTCCGGGCCCCACAGAGCGCCTTTAGGACCGTCACCTTCGCTTGGACCAATACGTCAAATTACGTGCTGCCACGTCTGGTTTGTTCCTTAACGCGTGTTGATTGGAACTTAACACTCGTAGGAAAGAGAAAAAAGAAAAAAGGTTTCTCACTCAATCCCCTGCCTGCCTGCCCACATGTATCATTTTCACCCGACAGCTCTCTTCCTCACTTTCTGCGATCCCTACGTGAGTCACACGCTCTCCTCTTTCACGATTACCCTTTTCACACACGTTCCAAATAATTTTCTTTTCTTTTCTTTTTAATTTTTATTTTTGGCTTGGTCAGCTTATGAATGAATGATAGGAGAAGAGATTGAATAACAGGTAAAATAGTGTCCATAGTTCTTTAATGATTAAATAAATTAGAAAAAAATCTTCTTACAAACACGTATAAAAGATCTTGTTTCAAAATATACGACATCATTGTGTGGGGACAAAGACTAGGAGGTGCCCATGGAATTTCCGCCCTCCCCAAAAGACAACCACCACCCATTTTTAGCTACCTTTGAAGTAATTTATTATAGCAGATTAAAATACTTTTTTACTCTATTTATTTTTTAAAAAATTATTGGGGGACAATTCTATCATTTACTCTCTCCACCTAAGAAGAGTATCTATATCAACGCCATTGAAAAGAAAGAGAGAATATTTTGAAAGAATATTAAAAATGTTTGGACGGAGGGTAGGATTACAGAGGAGTGGGGTTTCACGTGGGAAAGAGCAGGCCGGAGGTGGAATAAGATAGGAATAGGAATAGGAATAGGATGGCCAATCCAAGTAATTAAAATGCATGAGCATGAATCACGTTGACTCGACACAACAGCCGGTCTATTCCCATTTCCAGCCATCCCTACTCGAGATTTACTCATGGACAAAGCTACGGACCCTGTTTCAGGGATTCCAAGTAAATTATAAAATTTATTATTATTTTTTTATGAATATATTGCTAGAAGTCGGAGTATTATTGAGTTCGAATCGACTCAAGAAGTTTAAAGTTTAAAGTGGAATTCGATTAGATTCAACAACTCACGAGTTTAAAATTATCAAATTCGACTCGTGTTCAAAATCAGAAATTTAAGCTCGACTCTACTCGAAAGGTCGTGAGTTTAAATTTTTCAAGCTCGACTCAAAAAAAAAATTTGAAGCTCAACTCGAGATCGAAAAACTTGAACTTAAGACATTATTAGACTTAGCTTGAATAAAACTAATATCAAGTAGTTCGTTTCGAATCGGTAAGAACATGAAACACTTATACTATATATATATATATATTTAAAAATGTAATATTATTAATAATTTAATTTACATAATAAAAATTTAATATATTATTTTTTCCGATTTGCTTTTGAGTTTTTTTAGTTAAATATCAAGTAGTTCGTTTCGAATCGGTAAGAACTCGAATCAAATATATTTGATGTGAATATTGACAGAACTTTGATCGAGTCGAACACTCGATAGCTCGCGATATCTCATCTCGTCTAGAATCCTATATATTGTTATCTCATTCACAAGCAGTCCTGGCTCCTTTAGTTAAATTGAATAATAACAGTTTTGGTTCCTTCTTTTCAATAAATATTTTTTAAATGTATTTATAATTATAATTATAATTTTATTTTAACATAAGCGGCGTCCTGATTACAAGACAGATGAACGTGTTTGTCTGTTTCCCATGTTTTCTTTTTTCTTAATAAAACATCACCATCTCATCGTCTGTCTCTTGTTTTGTGAAATCTCAAAAGTCAGGTGTGAATCTGGATTTTAAATTATGATCGTATTTTCGGTCATTTTAGATTTATCGGAATTGTAGCCGTTGCAGGTGTTATTGGGCACTATTGTAGGTGTAGTAGGTAACTCGGATGACGGCGAAACCGTTATTTCACGGACGCTATCATATTTTTGGATCGTGATTTGAAAACCCAGTGTGAACTGAATGCGATTTTGTGGCTGCTTTTCAAAGCAAATGTCAAAGATGAATTTTGGATGCATTTGGGCTAGATATTGAAACATACCTGATTCTTTTAGAAAATTCACGTAAGAGATGTCGACCTTTTAAAGGGGTTGATAATGGTTTAACCATTTTAAATAGAATCAAATATAAGGTTATGTCATGCGTATGCAAGACGAATTACAATTAGAACACGGGAAAAACTTTGAGCATTGGCTGGAACTGGAAAATGATCACGTGTGCCGCCTTAATATACGATTAAAAAAATGTATTATCAGTTTTGTTATTATTTAAATAACAAAATCGGTAAAAAATAACCTGAAGCATTATTATTTCTACTGATTTTATTATTATTAGATATTTTACCGAATTTCTTAACAAAACCGATAAAACGCTATGATTTTATTATTTTTTACCGATTTTATTATTTAAAATAATAATAAAACCGATATTATTTTTTAACTATATATTAAGAGTACCGCATCGTAGATGGAATTATACAGTTTCAGACCACGGGAAATCAAACGGACCCAACTTATGAGGTAGATTCTTACGACATGTCTGGGGGTTTGGATGGTCGGCTGTCTCATCAAGCCATTGTGATGGCTTCAACATGTCAAAAAAAGTAAGGGTAAGGGTCCATAATGTTCGATGAATTATTTGTTTATTAAATTATTAACTCGTTTATTCTATTTTTTTCTTTTTCTTTTATATTTAAATAAAAGTAGGAACTAAATTAAATATACATTAAACTTTAAAGTTCAAATTGTGAAATGTAATAAATTTAAGGATTAGTAATGTAATTTCATCTTTTTTATATTACTTGCAACTGAAAGGATACCATCCTTCCCCCTTGGCATTAGATCAGCCCCGCCCTTTCCCCTTCGCCTAGATCTTGAGTTAATTATAAACCATCTCAAAAATCTCGTTTAAAATCTCCCGAATAGAACATATTTTATTTATTTATTTTGATTATTTTTTGATTAATTATGTTTGCGAACACTGAATAAATATATTCGAGAGTACTAAATGAATTAAATACGAACACCTTAAAAACAAACAAAATAACAAGAATAAAATATTAACAAGATAAACGAATACGAACCAAACATTAACACTTTAAAAAAATAAACAAATAGACACGAACAACTTTATTCGTTCAAACCATATTCATTTGCACCTGCTCATAAATATAGTTGGGGTATAAACTTATGGAACTCAATTTTTATCTAAATTTGAAAATTTTATTTGAAGAATCTCGAATCCGAACTCTCTTAATTTAACTCTTCAATGACTCAAAAGTTTAAATGAATTTGGTTCAAAATAGTTTAAGCTTAAGATAAGTTTAAAATGAAATAGCTCGAAGTCGGTATAAATCTAACTCGAGATGACTTGAATATAAATTTAAGTATAATTTAAAAAAAATCACCAATAATCCCCACGAGAGCGTCCTCTAATAATCGAATGCCCGGCATTTCGCGTACAAGACAACCAGGGGTTGACTTCGGACAAAAATTCAAGGGTTGCATACAAAAAAATTTATAAATTTTTTTAGGGGTTGCACAATATTAAGAGTGACACTTATATTAATTAAAAAAATTAGAAAAAATTAACACTAAGTAGACAAAACAAAAAAAATATATATAAAAATACTGAAATAGTATCATTTGATCAATATTCCTCACAATTTGAGGGTTGCCCGGGCTACCCCTGGGTCCGCCCCTGAAAACAACCAAACTGTTACCCACATATTCATCACACTCGAACCCGTTAACCACCACAATGGCATGAACCTGTCTCGCTTCCCCAACCCCAAATCCTCGGTAGAAGTACAGTCTTTTAGAACACTGGAAAAAGTGAACTCATTGCACTTAAGACCCAACAAATGCATCTCGTTAAAGGTCAAAATGGCTTCTTTGGTAAACCCATTTTGGGCATACCCGGAAATCGAAGTGGCCAAGAAACCAAGTCTGGTTCAGGACTTTCATCAACCAGTTTCCCGGCGTAGACAAAAAGTTCACACTCTGCATAAAAATCGGCCAGAGTTCCTGGTTTTAGGGTCCTTGAATGACCCGAATTTGAGTAAATGGGCATGGATTTGCATGCCTGGAGATAGGGTCTTGGCGGCATTGCATTTTGACAAAAGCTTGGAGTAGTAGGGAACATAGAAGTGTCGCGAGTAATGCTAGAAGAGCATCAATAAAACCAAGTAACCAACAACGATGCCAGTTTATATTTGAGATTTTTAATTAATTATTTCTTTAAAATTAATCATTTTAAATTAATTTTTAAACTTTAAATATTTAAATTTCATCCTTAAATTATGATTCCCATTGTAAATTAATCCCCATACCACAGTTCAATGGTCTTTAACTAATGTTTAAACGATATATTATATTAACAAAAAAAATATATATTGCAAACTTGAATGTTCGTTGTTAATGATAAAGTTATATTCAGTTAATTAATAAATTTATTTATTTTAATTGTAATTAATATATTGTAATTATTGTACATAATTCTCTTAGCGTATGATAACACACATCTTGTAGATGCAATACCACCC